TCCTGATGCCCAGGCTCTGGCCAACCCTGATTTCCTGTGGCCTGGTCAGAGACCCAAGGGGACAGCAAGGAGGGCTTCTGTGTGGGGCATGTCCCTAGGGTGGAGTCACACTCACCTGTTCCCTTGTAGTCCTGCCCCTCTGCCCTTTTATGGATAGAACTTTCTAAGAACAGAGTCCCCCAATAAAAGGTGACTCCAAATATGTTCTTTCTCTCTCTCTCTCTCTCTCTCTCTCTCTCTCTCTCTCTCTCTCTCTGCTCTTGTGACTTTCTCTTGCTCTTCCTTTTGGAGAGCCTGAGCCCAAAGTCAAGGAAGCCGTCCTGAGGCTTGTGTGAAGGTAAATTGTGTTTCATTTTGTGTCCCTGCAAATTCACAGGAGCCATCTTAGTTCAGCTGCCCGAGCTGTTCAGGGGCACAATCCTACGCTTTGTGGGACCCAGAGGCTAATGACTGGAGACTGACACCACATAGAGAAGGGATCGGCAAACAGCCCTCTGTGCATTTCCTGCTGTAATTACATTTTCTGAGACTTTGCCACCAGAGACCTGGATCACACCTGTGCTCCCTCCTGATGAACCCTGTGACACAGGCCAGCCACTCTGCCCCTCCGTGTACCAGATTCCAGGTCTGCATTAGTGTAACAGTGACTGTGAGGTCGGCAGAGGTGCTCCCAGCATGCACCTGCAGGAGCCCATGACTGTGCATCCTGGTCCTTCCTGCTGACCTTAGTCCAGAGGCCCCTGAGCACAGACATTGAATCAGCAGCTCAGGCTCCCACTGCCCACACCTTGCAGGGGGCGCTCTCCCCCTGACCTGCACCACCTCCCTGCACTCCCAGCCTCCTTCTCTCCATCCCTCCTCTCTCCTACTCAGCCTTCCCAGCTCCTTTATGTCCTGCCACAGGCAAACTGCAGGCTAGCACTGAGAGAACGTTCTAGAACTCAGAGCTGACCACAGGTAGGTAAAACCTCCATGTCCTTCAGAATGAGCTCAAGGGCAGATGCTGGGTGGACTGGTGAAGGAGAGCTCATGACTGTCCTTCTAGAAAGCCCAATTATAATAATGAAAGCTACTTCAGGGCGTAACTGCCCAACATGCACCAAGCAGCACCAAACCATGGCAGGGACAGCATTACCCAGAAATTCGTGAGGACCAGTAAATAGTGGTGGACTCTGGCCGTGAGTGGAAAGCACCTGTGGCCTGGACGCCACTCCCAGGTCCTCAGCAGGGCGGCTGAGTCAGGCTCCTGTCCAGGCTGGTGGCAGGCGTGACCAGCTCGACTTCACTGCTGGGACACTGGGAGGTGGCTGTGAGGCTTCTGGTCCTGAGAAGTTGGCATTGTCCCTTGTCCCCTGCTCCTCCACCTAAGCACAACTAGGAACCTGTAAATGGTTCAAGACACAGAGGGACTCTGAGAAGTGGGCGAGGCCAGCTGCTCTGGGACCCTGGACTGGAGAGACACACGGAGACAGAGCCTCTTCTGCCCCTTCAGCTGCCACCACCCCACAGGTGCAGGTCCCTCAGGACCCCGCCCCCACCCCTGGCCAGCAGCAGAAGGCAGCCACGTGGGCTCCTGGTAGAAGAGGATCCTCTGATGGCCTCAGGCAGGACAGACATTTCCTGGAAGGGGAACAATCAGAGCTGAACCAGTGGTCACAGGTGGTCCCTCCCCATCAGCCCTGTGCCATGGCGACTGGTATTTCTGACCCTCAGTTTTCTTCTTGGTCAAAGTCATGAGGCTGGTGTGAAGCAAGATGGTAAAGGGGCAGCTCAGGGGCCAGCAGAGGGCCTCATCAAGCGCAGCCCCTTCCCTGTGGCCCAGCCAGGGGGGCAGATGACCTTGCCCTCAGGAGGACATTGCCCGAGGGGGACAGGCAGCTGCAGGGGGTGCTCAGCACAGCCCACCTCTGATGTCTGGTCCCCCGTGACTCCTCCTGGGCCTCTGCAGCAGGCCTGGCCGTCCCCTCCTGGGCCACACTGGGCTCCTCAGGCTCTGGGCTCAGCCCTCTGCAGAGCTGGGGCAGCTGAGCTGATCCTGACCCTGTTTCAGCACCACGGTCAGTGGCAGCCCCTCTGCAGGGATGTCCCTGGGCCAGAGTCTCCTGGTGGATGGAGGTCCCTGAGCAAAGCCTTGGCCACACTCCAGTGCAGAGGTGGGTTACAGAGGGGCCTGGTGACACGCTGTCTGTGAGCTGGTCAGGGGTGTCCAGGACCCTGTGGGCGTGTGTCCAGGCTGGGGCTTCTTGTCCCCGGGGGTGTTAGCTAGGGACTCATGCTGTCGTGAGGTGAGGGGGGGTTAGCCAGGGACATCTCCAGTGACCAGGTGGGAGTGGCCGTGCTGTCTTGGGGCAGCATTGGTAAGGAGCATGAGTCACTCACAGTGGCATTTAGAGCACTCGCCAGACCCTGGGAGAATCGGGTTGGCTCTGGTGAGCAGCCTGCTCCAGGCAGCCCACACCCGCAGGGCTTCCCCCTCTTCATCTGAATTTATTCCCCTTTCCCCTCAGAGGTTTCCCTCTGTCTTCTCACATTTCTGTCTGGGAGTCCATCTTTCCAGGTGGCCTCAGGCACCGCAGGCCCCATCCCAATTTCTGCCCAGAAGCTTCCTGCAGGTTCTTCTCAGCCCAGGCTGACCTGAGCCCAGGGTCCTGGAGGGGCAGGGAGTCTGGGTGCCACTGAGACCTGGCACGGGGACCTCATGCCTGCATCCCCCACCTCCCTGTGCCCTCTCCTTCTGGTCCCTGCCTGCGTGGGGGCCACCTGGGCCAGCTTCCTCCTCACCTGTGGCCTCCCCAGGATCTGCTCCACCTGGAGGCCTGGGGCACTGTCTCTAAGGCCAAGAGCACAGACCCAGCAGGGACCCCCTGCACAGAGGCACAGCTGGGTTCCTTCACTACTCCATCCAAGGACGGTTTCCCCAAAGAGGGACACCACCATGACTGTCACACAGGGAAAATTAACACACTAGATATTTTACTTCACTCATCACTAATGAGAGATCCAGAAAGGAGAGAAAGAAACACAGGTGTTTTGATAGAAATTTGTGGATGAACTAGGAAACCAGCTCACTGTGTGGGCACCAAGGGCCTCCAGGAGACAGAAGGCAGGTGCATGTGTGGAGGAATGGCTTGCCCTTCTCCATCTCCCCTTAGGGCATTGTCACACAGCACAAAGGCACAGCAGGCTGGGATCAGATCACTGCAGACAGGATGCTCTAAGAGCACAGAGTCGTCCCTTGGAGAAGCAATCTCATTTTGAATTTCTATATTTCCATTCATAAAGTAACTAGTGAGCACCTCACATATGCCACACATTGTTCTAAGAAGGATTCAGCAGTAAGTAGAAGAGATACAAAATCTTTCATTAGGTACACAACTTAATAGTGAGAAAGGCAGGAAAATAACTAAGTATATTACATGTTATTCTGGTTGGTGACAAGAAGTTTGGAGTGAAACAAAATAGGATTATGTTATGGGGAATGAGGGTGGACTGGACTCTTCAATATGTCTCCGATGGAGATCATCCCTGAAAAACTAATATTTGCAAATGCACACACATAACATGGCAATTATGAAGATGCACACACAATCCACACAAGTACACATACAAAGACTATAGACACACACACCGATATACAAATAAATCCTTTATGCTCATGCAGAGTGTGACCATATGTCACTCACATGCACGTACACATTCAAACACATATTCACACCTACAAACAGGCACACCTCAAAATTCACACATATTACTCGTGCAGACACACACATACACTAGCAGTTGAGATGCATACACACCTCAGACACATCACAGCTCAAGCACACAAAAATCCACATGCACACCTCAGACATGTGCACAAAGACCATGCACACACATGCAGACACACATGCAGGACACATATACACTCCAGATGCTGACGTGCACACCACATATGCACACACACACCTACCTCAGACACAAACAGAGCCCACAGATAACCAACACAAACACACCACAATGCACAAACCCTGGCCATGGACACAGGCAGGACCCGCTCATGCTACAACACACACAGCAGGGCAGCAGCCACCCTGGGTCCTGAGGGCTCCTTCACTCTGCCCTGGGACACTGGAGCTCTGGCCCTCCGGCCAGCCAGACCCAATGTCCTGGTAGGAGAGAAATGACAGAGTCACAGTGCCTCTGGCCACTGCCTGCCATCTGGATGACTTAGCTCCCAGGGCCCAGCTGCCCTGCTCACTGACGTCACCGTTCTCCTCCTGCTGCTGGGATCCAGGGACCCCATGGCCTCGCAACCCTGGTGCTGGCCCAACCTGGGGCACCAGGTGCATCCACGCTCAGAGTGACCAGTGCAGGATGGACGGGGCCAGGCAGCTTGCTCAGGAATGCAGGAAGGGACCAGCCAGGCCAGGGGAGAGGGGAACTGGCCCCCTACAGTGTGGGGAGTAGAAAGGCAGGAGGCTAAGAGGGGGGTCCTGGGTCCCAGGCCAGCAGGGAGCCCAGGAGCACTGGGAAGTGGACCTGTCCCTGGAGCCCTGTCCTAGCCCTGCCTGAGGGTCCCATGAAGGTGAGGTGGACTCACAGGATGTTCTGAGAGCCCCTCAGGGTGTCTGGAAAGTTCTTCTCATCTCCTGGTCCATCCCAGCCCCAGAGGAACATCCCTTGGGAGAGTGTCCCTTCTCCTGCCAGGTCTCCAAGCTCCTGGGGGGACCAATGTGCTAATGAAGGGGCTGAACAGGGGGAACCAGAGTGTCCCCCGTGGACAGCTGTGAGGGCTGTTGGCTGCAGAGCTCACCTGGTGGCTCAGTCACCACCCATGTCCCCAGAGAGCAGGAGGAGGAGGAGGAGGAGGAGGTGGTGATGAAGGAGGAGGTTGAGACTTGGGTTTCCCGAGACCCCAGGGCAGACAGGATAAGAACATGACTGAGGCAGAAGGGACAGTGGTGGAGTGGGACAGCAGACAACCCCTGACGCCCTGTGTGTGCCTGTCCCAAAGTGAGACCTTCTTGGGGAACAGATGGGCCACAGTGAAACCCATTACCTGCCCTACCCATGGGACAGGCACAGGGCTGGGGACTGGTGACCTAGAGTGGGACTATCTTAGTAAGAGGACAGTGGATCCTAATGGTGCCTCGGGCTGGCAGACTGGGGGTGACCACATGAACCAATCCTCAAGAGGAAGAGCTTTCCACCCTTCAGGACAGTGACGTGGTCACTAACACACACTGGCTGCCTTGTGACTGGTGACCCACTGGCTATATTATGCAGGTCCAGGTGACTGAGGGTGACAGGCTGAGCAGGTTCACTGACCAGTAAATGAATGGGCTCTGAGCGAATTGACCAGAAGTCTTCGCTCTTGGGGTCCAACCATCAGGAGCTGGTCATGCACACCCGACAGGCCGGCAGGGCGGTGGTGAGGGTCTTGGACGCGGGGTTGGACTGATGGTTGCTGCCGGGCTAGCTACAGTGGCCCATTAGAGACCAGCCAGGCCTCCTGCAGCCCAGTTTATGGAGCCTGACTCAGATCCCTCCGCCACTACAGGGGGCCAGTCAACCTTCTCCTGCAGTGCGGGGCACGGGGTGGAGGGCTTCACTGCAGCCCTGGGCCACCCTGGACCTCACAGGGACCACCCACCCCGCAGCCAATCAGTGGCTCCAAACGCTGACTCCACTTCCAGCCTGTAGGACAGATGGCTCCAGGTGCCACGTGGAGCAGCCACCAGAGCCAATCAGAAGCTGAGCCTGCAAGCCCCTCCTCTCTGTGTGGCCAGTGGGTGGAGCCAACCTGCGGTGTGGGCGGAGTCATGGGGTTTGGTGTTCTCTTCTCAGCCAGGCCCCCCTTGACCACACTCAGGAAACCACACCCACCTCCAACCCACCCCTCAGTTCCCTTGATTGACCCCATTTCACTGTAGGCTCAGCCCACACCCCTGAGGGCAGGGCCTCCAGCTGCGCAGAGAGGCCACGCGCCTCCCAAGGCAGCACAAGCCTCTCCCCCAGGCCTGAGAACGCCCCGCTCCCCAGTGTCACCTCTCACCAGGGCCCCACGACCAGGGCTCCTACCGCACCTTTCCCGTGACCTCCCTTGAGCGGAGGTGACAGTGGAGAGAGCTGTCAGGCTAGAGGTGTCCTGTGAGTGCCAGGTCAGGGTGCCCAGGTCCCTAAAGGCCAGGACTGAGGAGGAAGGGGGAGCATCACAGACCCCATCGCCTTCCCCTTCCTAAATCTCTGGGACAGGTATCCACAGCCACCTTCCTGCTACTTGAGAGGAACAATCCTGTCTCCACAGAACCCGGCCATGTGAGATGGCACAGGGGGGCACAGCCACCCTCCCCGGGGTGTGATGGAGGTGGGGACTGTTTCAGCTTCAGACAAGACCTGGGTTTCACAGCTCAGGAGGAGGTCAGACCAGGTGCAGGACCAGCAAAGGCAGGAACCACCCACTGTCACCTTCCAACTCCATCCTCCTGCTGTCCCCAAGGGTCACAAGGCCACTTCCCCTCTCACCTGTCCCAGGGCTACATTTTTTTTTTAAGTTTGGTGGTTATTTATTCATTCAATTAATAGCCACTTCTACATATTTTACTCATAATGATTAAAAGATGCTCCTTTGCCTTCAAACCATATTCTTTTTTAAAAAAATATTGTTTCATTGTCAATGGACGTGTATTTTATTTATTTATTTTTATGTGGTTCTGAGAATCAAACTCAGTGCCTCCCACATGCTAGGCAAGCTCCCTACCACTGAGCCACAACCCCATCCTCCAGGGCTACATTCTTGTCCCAAACTCTGCCCTCATTCTCCTTAGGGTCCCAACCCAGCCTGCTCCCCTTCAACCTTGCAATGCTATTGTTTTATAATAGTAAGCACACAGTGTGTCTTGGTCTGTTGAGCTGCTGTAACAAAACACTGTGCACTGGGCGACTTCACAGAAATTTACTTCTATGTCCTGTGGGCTAAAAGTCCAGGTTCCAGGTGCTGGCCAATCTGTTTCCTGGTGAGGGTTTTCCCCCTGGATTTTAGATGAGCATCTTCTCCTCTTCCTGTCTCACACTGTGGAGAAAGAGGTCCAAGCTCTTTGGTGTTTGGAGGATGGCCTGAGGCCTGAGCCTAAGCAACTCCATTTAAAACTCCAGTTGGAAACCTGCAGTGTCAGTGGCTCACCTAAGGGGGCCCTCCAGTGTGTCCTCAGACAAGTCACCTCCCCTCACCCTGATAACAGAGTGCAGCCCTGGCAGGCTGTCCTGGCCTGATAAGAGGGAAGGGGAGAAGCTCAGGGTGGAGACCAGCAGACCAGATGTTTCTGACCCCAGGGTAAATGACAGTGGTAGCTGATAAGGGTTGAAGGAGCGGGGGTAAAAAGCCCCAAAATTTAGTATAAACAATAGAGCTAATGAACAGGGATTCAGCCAGCGGAAACTAGGATGCACTCAGCTGGAGGGCCTGACGAGGACCTGGACTGACGTCCCATCACTTGTCATCATTTCCTGATCCTCTGTGTGGTCCTCACTGCCCTCAAACTCTACCAGCTCATCTGGACCCTGGTGAGGGCCACAACTTCTCCCCGTACCCTCTCCTCAACTGGTCGTCCACGCCAGAAGCCTGCCTTGGGTCAGGACCTGCTCACCGTGGTCTGAGTGAGTGGGCATCTGCTGGACGTAAAGCCTAAGGCCTGAGACTTTAGAACTTAGCACCCAGAGGGGATGTCTGTCCTGAGCCTGCTGATTAAGTGTGTTTGCAGTGCCTAGAATTAATTATCTGGAATTGATTGCTGTGAATTGACTCTGTCTATTGCAGTGCCTGGCAGTAAGGATTGTCCTTTTCTTGTTAAGAACCTACAGAGTGAAATTGTACTGAGTGATTTGAGGGAATAAAGCATTTTAAAGGGCAGAAGTGTGTGGACATTCTTTATTTCTCCCCTCGACTGCATACATCGCACCTCTGCCCCCTGGTGACAGTGCTTCCTCTGACTAGTCCTATGTGAGGGCTCTGCTCCCATGACCTCAGTGACACCAGTCACCTCCCAAAGGCCTGTCTCCAAATACCACTGTATTGGGGGTTAGGGCTTCAACACGTGGATCTTAGGAAAACAGAATTCAATATACACTAAAATTGAGTAAGAATAAGGTAATCCTCACATCTTGTGTCTCTCCCTGCTAGACTATCCTTTCATAGGGAACCTCTGTGTGTACATTCAAGTACACACACACACACACATACGCGCGCGCACACACACACACACACACACACACACACACACACACATACTCTCTATGCACAGTGTCTTGTATCTTATTTTTATTTCATTTTATTTTCCTGCAGAGCTGAGGACGGAGCCCCAGGTCTCATACAGGCTACCCAAGTGCCCTACCCCTGAGCCACATCCCCAACCCTTTCTTACTTTTAAATAAATTTTTAATTTTGGAGGAATTTTATATTCACAGAAAAGTTGCTGAGATGTTACAGAGAGTGACTATAAATCCCTCACCCAGATGCCCTTGTTGAACTCTGAGATCACCAAGGGACATGGCCACAGGAGGAGGTGACAGTGGCACATGCACTCTGTCCTATGCACAGGGTGGCGGGGGGTGGGAGGATTGTTCTCTGCATCCAGCTCTGATTTACCACTGAATGTGATCCCAGGCCTGTCACTCACAGGACCTTGTGGGACAGGTCTCACCCTGTCATCCTCCAATCTCTCATGTCCCAGTTGAGGGCCTCTCTGCCTGTTTCTCTAAGGGGCCACTGAGCCTCTTCCTGATCTGGTGAGTCTTCCCCTCCTCCTGCCTCCCTGGGCCTGGGAGCTCTCTGGTACTGTATAAAGAGCCTCAAGACACAATGACAACGTTCTCTGCAGCATTAGCCTTCTCCAAGTCCTTCCTACCACCCTGGGAAAATTCTAGAACTCCCCCCTCTTGGATCTCATCCATCTCTTCTCCATAGCTGTATTTATAGGATCTAGAGACTGTCTGAATTGTCTGAGAGGAATCAATAGAGAACAATGGGTAAAGTTTAAACCCCTTGGTAACAGCCAGAAGGTGGAGAAAAACCAAAATCCCATCAACTGATGAATGGATTAGCCCACTGTGACCTACCCATATGGTGGAGTATCACTCAGCCATAGAAGGACTGATCATGGATGTCCACTCCAGCATGGATGAATCTCAAGACCATGATGCTCCATGAGAAGCCCGACACAAATGATCACATATTGTATGATTCCAACACTAGGAAATGTCCAGAGGAGGAAAATCTATGGAAACAGAAATTAAATTGGTGAGTTCCAGGAAGTGGAGGAGGAGGAAATGAATACCAACTGCTTAGTGGACACAAAAGTTCTCCTTTTGAGGTTATGAAATTGTTTTGCAACTAGATAGAGGTGGTTGCACAACATTGTGAATGTACTAAATGTCATTGAATTGTTTGCTTTAAAATGGTTCATTTTATGTCATGCAATTTTGCCTCAATTAGAAAAATAATAGGTTTGTCACAGTGGTATGTGCCTGTAATCCCAGTGCCTTGGAAGACTAAGGTCCAAGGATGACAAGTTCAAGGCCAGCCTCAGCAATAAAAGAGGCCCTGAGCAAAGTCACAACACCCTCTTTCAAAATAAAAATTGAAAAGGGCTTGGGATGTGGCTCAATGGTGAAGTGGCCCTGGGTTCAGTCCCAAAAACAAAAATGTGATGATGATCATAGTGATGATGATGTTGGTGATGGTGATGGTGATGATGGTGATTGTGATGATGGTGATGATGGTGATGGTGATTGATGGTGATGATGGTGATGGTGATGATGGTGATGATGATGATGGTGATGGTGATGGTGATGGTGATGATGGTGATGGTGATGGTGATGGTGATGGTGATGATGGTGATGTGATGATGGTGATGTGGGTGATGGTGATGGTGATGGTGATAGTTATGATGATGGTGATGGTGATGATGGTGATGGGGATGGAAACTTGAAGTCAGAGCTCCAGGACTCTAATGTCTGCTTCACAGCTCCATCTCTTGCTTCTTCCCTTTGCACATCTGTAAATGGGTATAACAGGACCACTTAGCTCAAGGGTTCATCTTGAGGATTCAGGGAAGGGGCACAGCAGTCTGGTGCATGTCTGGGTGTGGTAAGTGTCCAGCAGCAGTCAGCTTTGGGGGACTGGTCAAAGTGCATTCAGTTGAGTGCCACGTGCTGCTGAGGTCATTGTTCAATCTTCTAATTGACCGTGTCAGCTTTTCACTGATGTGGCCCAAACACCTGGTGAGAACAGCTCAGAGGAAGAGAAGTGTATCTGGGAATCACAGTCAGAGGTTCAGTCTGTGGTGGGCAGACTCCATTGCTCTGGGGCCAAGGTGAGGTGGGATATCGTGGCAGAAGGGTGTGGTGGAGGACAGCTGCTCATCCCAGGGCAGAGGAGAGCACAGTGAGAGGACAGAGCCAGGGACAAGTAAAAGCCCCAAAGGCACAGCCCAGGGACTCCTTCTTCCAGCCATCCCCACCTCCTCCCATCACCACCCAGTAAGCCCTCAAATTATTACCCATCACGTGGACTAATCCACAGATCAGGTGACAGTGTCACAGTCTCCTCATTTCACCTGTGACATTCCTGCATTGGCACAGGAGATTTCCAGGGAACACCTCATACCAACCATAACAGTCCCCTAAGGGACCAGCTCTGTGCTGCTCTCCACCTGCCCCTGGTCCAGTGGGTGTCCCTGTGGTCACAGGGAAAACCCCCTGAAGTCCCAGTTAGCAGACAGGAAGTGTTAGACAATGTTTCTATAAGGAGAAGTTTCCCACGTGCCTGGCCAGGGTTTTGGTTCACTTCTCCCTCTCTCTCTGGTGGCCCTTCCCACAGTCCCCAAGTTCTGATCTGTCCCCTCTTCCCCACCTCCAGGTCCACCTTGTGACCTCTGTTCCCCAGACCATTCCTACAGCCTTCTCCCCACCTCTGGGCTCCCCTCAGCCTCCAGCCATCACCCTCAGCATCAGCAAAGGGAGCTTCCTAATGGTCCCCACCAGCCCTGTCCCTCCCATCCCCCTGCAGTGAGCCCCTGGGGGACTCTCCATCTCCCCTCACCCCAGAGCCCTGTCTCAGCCCCGCCCTGCTCAGCTCACCTGCTCCTTCCTGGGGCTCTCAGGAAGCCTCTCCAGCCTCCTTCCAGGTCTGCCCCCTGCAGTCCCCTCCCTGTCTCCATCTTGGCAGGACATGCTCACCTGTGGCTCCAATCCACCTCCCACCACGTGCTCCCGGTCTCCCCACCCCGCACTTTCCCACGGGGCGGCCTGGAGCCGGGCTCAGCCCCCTCAGCACCCTTCCCCTTGGGCATTTGGGGCTGGTGGCTCTGTGGGGTGGTGGGCTGTCCTGGGCACTGTGGGGGCTGAGCCGCCTCCCTGGCCTCCACCTACAGGACATGGCAGTGTCCTCTGTCCAGCTGACAAGCAGAACTGTGTCCACTCTGTGCAGACCTTCCTCCAGTGTCAAAAAAGAAGCCTGTGCTGGGAGCCTCCTGCACCACTTCCTACTTGTTCCTTTCAAGGTCACCACAGGGGACATCACTCCTCTCCCTGTCGGGTTTCCACACAGTAAAACAGTGAAGTGCACTTGGTTCCTCCTCGTCACACCCTGAAGGAAACCCTGGGGTGGCTGGTTCTCCTGTTCTCTGCTCTCATGCTCTGCCACATGCATGGATCTGCCACCCCAGGAACCTCGGAGGAAGGAGCACAGTGCTTCTCTGTCCTTAAGACACCAGCTTAGGGGACACCCCTGTTACCCAGTAACTTGGGAGGTTGGGACAAGAGGGTCACGAGTTCACCGCCAGCCTCAGCAACCTAGCAAGGCCCCCAGCAACTGCACAAGACCCTGTCACAAAATAAAATATTGAAAAGGCTCAGTGGTCAAAGCACACCTGGCTTCAGTCCCAGTGGCTGGGGAGGCTGAGGCAGGAGGACTGCAAGTTGAAAGTCAGCCTCAGCAACGTAACAAGGTCCTGTCTCAAAAAAATAAAAAAGAAAAAAGAAAGCAAAAGGAAAAAATGTTCCAGGGATGTGGCGTGTGGCTCAGTGGTTAAGGAAAGTTGGATTGTTCAATCCCTAGTATCATTTTTTTTAAAGAAGACATTTGGTGTCTTCTGGAAAGTCCCAGTTTGAGGTGAGTTGACAGTGTCTGGTGGTTGACCTCAAGCTTACTGTCCTGGAGATGACCAGTCACTATGAGTCCATGTTCATTTTCTTTACCTTAAAACCCCAGAGCCAAGAGCCAGATCTGGGAACTCCAATGGTTTCCCAGTTAATTATTTCTACCAATGGGTGGGGCTCACATCCATGAGTGGTGGGGGTTTGGGAAGGGACAGAAATAGGTGACTTCCTAAGACACAATGTGACAGGTTCCTGTAAATAGGAGCCCAAGACATTGAACAGGTCATCAGGGCCCAGGTCTGGGGCCAAGGGCACGAGCTCTTGGGGAGGGGAGTTGTTCAGCTTTGAGACTAAGAGGTGTCTGAAGGAAAGGGCTGGTGAGCAGCACAGATGCTGGCCCAGGGAGAGACGTGGTCCTGAGACCAGTCCCCTGGGCCACCAGCAGGGTGGCCAGATGGCAGCTGGGAAAACACCCACCAGAGTTAAGGGACCAGGAGGGTTTGAATGACATTATGGGGAGGAAATGTGAACCATCTCCCCTGAACCTACACTGGCTGTGGATATAAGGGACAAGGTGACACAGAGCGAGCAGAATCCTGGGACAGGGGCAGTCCAGGGAGGGAAGGTGTTGCTGCTCCTTGATTGGTTGGATCTAAGAGCAATAGGATGTCACCTGATGGGGGTCTCCAACCTGCAGGAGATAGAGGTGGAGCCGTTTTGTTTTGTTTTTTCTTTTTTGATTTAGCTTAAAACCTTCATTGTCACAAAACTCCCTTGTCCTTTCCTTCTCCGTCCTGCAGCCTGTGACTAGTGACAACATCTCAGAGTCCTTTCCTGGCAGTGGAGGTTGGAGAGGTTTCCTGGAAGAAGCTCCTTCCAGCTGCACCTGGAGGGGAGGCAGGAGGTGGCCAAGAGAGAGGAGCCAAGGAGCAGCCGGGTCCTGTACATCAGGGTCCCCCAGAGTCACCTGGGTCTGTGCCCAAGGACCAGGCAGCCAGGATGAGGGCGGACGTCACCCTAAAGTCACACGGAAAGGACAAACCTGGACTAGAAGGAGATTTATCAACAGGATAATCTGGGGGACCAGGAGGACCCCTGGGCCATACCCAGGTCGTCATGGATTTTATAAGGTTGGAATCGCGGCATCTTTTCCTATCATGATGGAACAGACCAGAAATCCATCCCAAGAGGAGAGCAGAGAGCCACAGGGATGTGGAAATCCTACACCAACCGCGAACCCCCCGTGGGCAAGAAGAACTCCCCAGGGAGACCGACAATTCCTGGAGATGAGGAGCAGCGGGACACAGCGTGAGGATCCAGGGTCCAGGGGGCAGAGCTGGAGAGAAATGTGAGCATCAGAGCTGACCTGGGAGGAAAGGTCTCCAACCAGCCACCTGATGTCAGGCAAAGACCAAAGTACAAACCTAACAGAGGGGACCACGGTCACACAGACACCATGACACCGGGACAGAAAAGTCACAGAAAATCAAACAAGAAACTGCTTCTTAAAAAATCAACAGAATTGACCAACGTGTAGCTAGACTGACCAAGTAGAGAGCCTCACATCATGAAAGTCGTAAATGAAAATGAGGACACCCCATGACTTTAGAGAAATGAAGAGGATTAATTGAGCCCCTGGGACAGTCCTCGCTCATGAGTGGCCCCACCTGGGTGAGGGGACAGATTCCTGCAACCTGCAACCTACACAGGCTGAGCCATGAGCAGGCAGAGCCCCTGAGCAGACCTCACACTGGCAAGAAGATGAGTCCCTCACCCCAGACCTCCACCAGGACAGTCCTGGCCCAAGTGGCCTCACTGGTCACCTCTACTGATCACATGGGGCCAACATGAACCTCAATCTCCCCATAAAGTGTGGAGAGAGGGGCACCAGCTCATTCTGGAGGCCAGCATCGTGCTGAGGATGTGCCAGATACCAGGACCACAGGGAAATGGAGCTGCCCACCAGCAGGAACGTCCATGCCAGGGTCCCCACCGTGACACTCCAAACTGAGACCTCTGTCTTTAATGACACTGACAATTACACCTTCAAATGGGTAAAATCATAATTATTATTTCACGTTTATTTTCTCAAAAAATTATAAAGAGTATTGTACCACATTGGATCATTTCACCCCAAACTTTTCCATCAGTTCAATAAAATTCCAATCAAAATTCTGGCAGGGGTGTGTGTGGAGGGGGGTTCACAAGATGATTCAAAGTTATAAGAAAATGCAAAACAGCTGAAAAACAAACCATTATTGCAGTAGTAGAGAGCTGGAATCCTGCAGATGCCTGACTTTCAGACTTGGATGAAGTTAGAGTAACTAAGACACTGGTTTTGGTGGAAGCAGAAATAACCAGGCCACTGGGACAGAACAGGGCACCTAAATAAAGACCTGCCAACACAGAGAACTGGGGGTGATTAAGGGCCACAGGGATTCAGGGGAGAAATGGTGTTTTCAATAATTGGTGCCAAAGTCATTAGAAATCTAAACAAAAAGAGGATTAACCTGGATCCACATTTCATATCACACCCAAATATCAATTTGGTATGTATAATAGACTTAAGTGTCACTGTAAAACACGAAGCTTCTAGAAGAAGCAAAGAGGAATATTTTACAATCTTGTGGGGCTCATATTTCTTAAGCAGTATACAAAAATCATTAGCCATATTTTAAAAAATGGTTTTTAGTAGTAGGTGGCCATAATACCTTTTTTTAAATTTTTATGTGGTGCTGAGGATCAAACACAATGCCCCATAGGTGAGAAGCAATCAATCTGCTTTGAGCCACAAACCCAGGCCCTAATTTTTTAAAAGTGTTAAATTGAATTTCACTAAAAATTCTAATAACTTCTCTCAATTTTAAAAGCATTAAAATTTAAAATTTAAAACCTGTGGTGGCACACATCTGTAATCCAAGTGCCTCAGGAGGCTGAGGCAAGACGATTGCAGGTATGAGGCCAGCCCTAGCAAAATTGTTAAGGCCTTAAGCAACTTATCAAGACCCTGTCTTTTATTAAAAAAATAAAAGGAGCTGGAGATTTAGCTCAGTCGTGAAGCACACTTGGTTTCAATCCCTAATAAATAAAATAAATAAATAAACAACACTAAGAGAGTGAAAGGCAAGCAAAGACTTGAAGATATTTGCAGTGTGTGTACCTAAAAAAAGAATTTATATCAACGGCATAACTGCTATAAAACAAGAAATATAAAAAATACAACACAACTAAATTTTACTTCAATGCATATAGAGTTTACACAGTCACCACACACACACATACACACACACACACACACACACACAACTTCATCACCTGTTGGCAGGGATGTGGAGCACATGGGACTCTCCTGCTCTGGTGGTGGGAGTGTCACCTGTTTATCCACATCAGCCACATCTTACAAAGTGATCTCTATGTCTAACCTTTGGAACTCCCAGGCCCGCCCCACGTGCTTGTTCCTGATTAAATGACCGCTCACGGGCGAATATGATGCCCTCAATATTTCAAGCCTGGAGGACACAGCCAGGAAATGTAGTGACAACAATTTCTGCCTATTTGAGCTTATGTCCTAGTGGGACAGTCAGGCGATTAAAAACAGAATTGATCAGCATAATGTTTTGAAATGGCTTAGAAACCATGCAATGGGTAAAGCATAAGAGGTTAAGCGATCAATCAAGAGGAACACAGTGATCTGTGCTTTCATGAGCCTGGTTAACAAAAGCCTCTCTTGAGTCAAAACTGCTCCCTATCAGCTCCCAAGACTCCGCCCCCCCTATTGATTGGCTCTTTCCCACCAGTCACAGAGAGGCGGGACATGCAGGCTCAGCTCCTGATTGGTCCTGGTGAATGTGCCTCAGCTCCCTGAGGACTGTGCCCCATCTGCCTGACTGGCTGGGGGTGTGGAGTAGGCGTGTGCAGCTGCTGATTGGCTGATGAAAAGACCGCCCAGCGCTGATTGGCTGAGGGATGCGTGTGCCCTGCGGGGGGCGGGGGCGTTGGCCCCTTTTGAGCCCTACACTGCCTTCCAGCGCATCAAATGGATGGTGGTGACCTGTCCTTGGGCGCAATTGCTTGTGGCGTCCCTGGAGTGGCAGAGGGGGCCTGTGTGGTGCTCTGCAGGCTGAGTTTCAGGAGGTGGGGCTGCTCTCCAGTGGGCAGTGGGAGTCAGGGATCCAGTCACAGGCCATCGAGGCTCTGCCTGCACCAAGGCCTCCCAGGCCTGTAGGGTAACGGCCAGCGAGAGCTTGGAGCCCTGGTCAGTTCACCTGGAGCCCGTGTCTGTGCTCCCTGGTCTGTGCTGTCCTATGTCACTCCTGTCACCTGGTCAGCCTGCCTCCCCATCAGTTCCCTGGTCGGCCTGTTTCCAGGTCAGTCACCAGGTCAGGCAAAAGGACAGCAAGGGAGTCACCAGTCTGTTGATAATGCAACCAAGCGGTGTGTCAGTGAAGGATCAGATTAGTGCCCGAAGGAGTCAGTGATTAGCCCCTTGTGAATCAGTTCATCAATTATTGAGACAACTCACCCCTTCATGCCCTGTTCCTTAGTGGGTTAATTAGGCTCCTCTACTCAGTCTCTTAGGAGAAGGCCGTCAGTTCTCACAGTCATCCCACCCATAAAGACAGGGTATCAGTCTCCCTGTTAGCCTTGGGCTCCTCTAGAAAACCAGTTTTTCCATTAATGTAAGTCAGTGCTTCCTTTATAAAGGCAGGAGAGCATTTCCACCCTTCTCCCTCTGCTAAGGAAACACACAGAGGGAAGTGAGCCCCAGACAAAGAGTTGCCTGCAGCCCTGGAACACAGACCAAGGTGAACTTGAGAAAAGGGGTGGTCAGGAGCCTGGCAGAGAGGAACAAGAAGAAGTCAGAGTTTTAAAACTAGATGGACCCTTACATCTTCAGGAATAAAGCCCACTCCTGCCATCGATGAGAAAAAGGAAACCAAGAGGGGAAAAAATACTGGATCCAAGGTCTTCAGTGATTTACTGGCAAAGCCTGAGCCAAAACCCAGGTAAGGTTCATCCAACATCCCAAATGAGGTTTTCTTATTTTTTATGACTTGATTTTGTTTATTTTTTTCTTCTGGGGTGCTGAGGATGGAACCCAGGGTCCCACAACTGTGAGGCAAGTGCTCTACCACTGAGCCCCAGCCCCACCCCAAGGTTTTAATTTATAGAAACAGAAGGAAAAAAGCAAGGCAGCATGTGTTTGGTGTGAGAGGCTCCTGACTGGGAACTTGCAGATTCTTCTTTCTGTGAGCAGAAGTCGGGCAGTCAGTTTGGACAGTGAGGGTTAGCTCTGCAGTGAACTCCACTCTGAGGGTCCTGCCAACATGGAGAACTGTGGAATAGGGAAGCGGAGGGCAGAGTCTGCAGCACGGGCAGGTGTAAAGGGGACCTAGAGCACATCCAAATCCAAGGCTGATGGAGCCAGGCAGGCGGTTCACTAAGAAGTAACTAACATTATAGGGCGTCTCTCTATGTGAGGTTGTTCTATTAGCTCATTTAACCCTGAGCCACAACCATATGAGATGGGGGCTGTTATCACACGTGTTAAACACAAGGAAACAGGCCCAGGGAGGCGTGAAGCAGCTTGTCTGCTCCTATACAGCTAACTAGGATTCACACAGGCAGTGCGCTTGACTTTTTCTTTTTTTAACAAAAGAGAAGTAGTGAGTTCCCAGCGAGGGTACCACTGGTTGCCAATCTTGGGAGAGTCCAATAGTGAGGGAAGTGACTTTCCTGAGACTCACCCAGGAAGTAAGGACAAAGATCAGGCCTTCTGACTTCCAGTTTCTGATGAGGAAGAATCTAGATCCCTTTGCTGGCATACTGTGTGGGTCATATCAGGTCACAGCTGAAAATGTCTGTAACTCGTCTTGCTGTGCATTTTACAGCTCTTTCCTGGAATGTCTTACCCACCTTATAAGGTGGTCAGGACCAGCTGATTTAGTCTCATCTCTTGTTCATGAGGAGATGGACGTGATAGAATGAACTTGATCATGTTTATATCGCAGGTTTTAAAGCTACATGAAATCCTGAGAAGGGCACTCCATTTGGAGTCGAGTTGAATCTGAGACCTGTCAACCCAATGGCTCCTCCCATCCTTTGGTCAAGACACAGGACTCTTCTGGGTCTATGACATTCTGTGTGAAGGGACACTGAGGTCTAAATCCCAGGTTGCTGGGGGATTAAGTGAGACAGAGTTTCTCTAGAGTTGTAAATTGCAACAGTAATTTTTCATTAGATGTGAACTAAAAGGTAGTTCCCAGTCACAGCAGTGTGATTCATGGGTTTGTAATTTATTCCAAAGAGTAGAAATAACCAAAATGTCTATCAGTTAGTGAATGTGTAAAATAAAATGTTTTCTACATACAGTGGGAGATTCTTCAACCATAAAGACTAAAGGGGCACTGAGAAATTACACAAAGTGCCTGAAAACATGCTCACTGAGAGACAGCAGGCCCCAAAACACCATAGATTATTTTATTTCATTTCTAAAAAATGCCCAGAGCAGATGAATCCATAGTTACAGAGAGTATATTAGTGGATTTATGGTCCTGGGGCTGGGATCTTGGGAGGGTGAATGTTATTGCACACTGGGGTTTTGAGTGAATGATGAAAATATTCTAGCATTAGAAGATGCACAACTTTGTGAATACACTAAAATCCCTACTGTGCACTTTTAAACGGTCAATTTTTGGCATGTATGAATTATATCTTAATCGAAAATTAATTTTAAAAGTAGTTGCCAGTAGAATTACAGCAAATTGGGGCTGGGGATGTGGCTCAAGCGGTAGTGTGCTCGCCTGGTATGCGTGAGGCCCGGGTTCGATCCTCAGCACCACATACCAACAAAGATGTTGTGTCCGCCGAGAACTGAAAAATAAATATTAAAAATTCTCTCTCTC